CGTTAGCTTGTTACGTAATATATTATTTCCAATTTAAAATTATTTCTTCAATAAAAAGAACATTAAAAACTTAAGTTTAAACTTTTAGTACGGCATTTATCTCTTTCGAATAGGAACATGTTTTTAAGTTTATTAAAAAACATTTCTATTCGAAAGAGATAAATGCCGTACTAAACAAAATTTCAGCTGAATTATCGGTCAAAGTGATTTCGACGCTGAACCCTTCAAAATGTTCGTCTTCTCTTTGCAACTTTTCTTGATCAAATCTTTGCGAAAACAGTCGTTCCAATTCTGTTCAGTATTTTTCGAGATATCAGCCTCCAAAGTTTTCAAATTGAACCATCTATGTTTTCTTCAACATGGCCAATTCTCCAAATATGACCATAGAGTCTTCCTAAATTTCCATGGTCTCCACTCTTTTTTCAGTTTTATCATGATATGATTTTGGTTTAAATTGTACAAAACTTCCATGATAACAAGAATAAATGACAATCAAATGAATCGAATTGTAATAAAATGAAGAGGACAATGAAATGAAAGGTCATTATATTGAAGCTCGATCTATCTATCCGAGATAACCACGGCAATAATTTTGGTAATAGTAATAATAATCAAGATGGTTATAAACATTGTTACTGTTACTCTTAAGATCAATATTATTATTATTACTATAAATATTATTATTATTATTTGTATTATTGTGATTATTATTATTGGCGGTGTTCAAGTCACCAAATATAAATTCATAAGAATCATTGCACAAAAGATTAGTATTACAATTATCATTAGTAGCAGTAAAAGCAGCAGTAGTAGTAGCAGCAGCAGCAGCTGTAGTAGTGGTAGCAGTAGTTGCAGTAGAGGCATTAAAATACTTCTCACTGCAGTTATAATAAGCCAACAAATTGATGTTATCGTTGTTATAACAATAATTACTAATACTATTATAACCACTTTCATTGAGAAAATTAAATCTACCGAAACTATACGGATGTATACCATCGTTATGGAAATAACCGTTAGTTCTTTTAAATAAAATACCACTACTGCTACAACTACTACCACAACAGTAACAACTACTACCACAACTGCCACTACTACTACTACTACTACCACAAATAGTAGTAACGTTACTAGCGTCACTACAGCTATTTCTACCAACACAATTAAAATAGCTTACTCTATCGTTCCTCATGCCAATGCTATTAACACTACCACTAACGATGTTTCCTACATTATTGGTCGCACAATTGCTTTGGTGTGTAGTAAAAATTCTGCTATTGTTATTATTATTATTGTTGATATTATTATTATTATTATGGTAATATTTGGAATGGCTGATATGGGGATATTTATCGCATTTCAAATGATTACTACTACTAAAATTATTATTATTACTTATATTATTATTCTTACAGTTTTCGTTGTTATTATTATTATTAATTATTTTACCAAAGTCGTGATTGTTATCTTTATTGCGTCTGCTGCTTTTATTATTCACGCCATTTACGGCCTGTTTTTTAGCGGCACATTTCTTATTTCCTTTCGTGACGTCATTTTTATCGGAGTTGGAGTTGTCGTCATGCAAACAGTTGTTTACAAGGCAATCGCTAACATTGCCAGCACTTACGTTACAGTAATAATTACCATTTGAAGTATCTTCCAATTTTAAGTTAATTTTTTCGCGGGCGAACTTTTTATTAGAATAATTTTTGGCAATTTTTTCGCCGCTAAATTCACATTTGACGGTAGTAGTAGCAGTGGCAGCGGCAGCAGCAGCAGCAATAGTAGTAGTGGCAGCAGCAGCAGTAGTAGTAGAGATTGTAGTAGTGATGGTAGCCATTTTCTTTTTGTTTCTCTTTGAAGGTTTGGCTTCTGGATCAACAGTCCACCAGCTACTTTTGCCATTGTTTCGAACCTGAACTCGAACGAATCGACTGTGCAGTGAGAGGTTGTGCCGGATGGAGTTCTGAAATTATTTTTAGGATTGGTTGGTTGTTTTTTGATTGTTTGGCTTAAAATGCAATTTAAACTTATCAAAGTCGCAACCACAGCCTACGAACGAACAATCTAATCGACAAATCCCAACCAACCTTCCAGACCAAACAGCCAATCAAAACTCACCATCTATCAAGAATGCCCATCAAAATTTGTTCAAAACTAAATCGACAAATCAGAAGACATTTTGAATCCAGCCATCCAATCAGAACTCACCTTCCATCCGATAGAGCTCCCTCCATCTTTCTTGTTCTTAAAATAATCCACGTGCTCGGTAAGGTAATCATAAATTTGACTCAAAGTCATCTGACCTGAGCTTGAACTTTGAATGGCCTTGACAATAAGGTCGGCGTATGTCTGGTTTTTCCAGACATTTTTTCTCGGCGTCTTCGCGGATTTTTTAAAAGATATTGAGGATTGTACGGGTGTAGAACCGTTACCACTTGAAATGTTGTTTGTGTTGTTGTTGCTATTGTTGACATTGTACATTTTGTTGTTGTTGTTGTTAGTAATGACGTCATTATTGTTGTTAGCGTACAGGTTTCTGACGCCATGGCTGTATCGTTTATAATCGTAGCTGTTGCAATGATAATTCGAATGATAATAACACCTATTGTCGATGCGGTTGTTGACGTCATAATTATTATTATTATTATCATTATTGTTGTTGATGTTGTTGTAGATGACGTCATAACCAATGGCTTTGTTGTTTTGAATGTTATAATTGTCGTTGTTGTTGCAGTTGTTGTTGTTGTCACTTATACCATTGCTGCTGCTGTTTTCGGATAATTTTGAGCTTCTGATGACGCTGTAATAGTTGCTATTGTTAGTGTTAATGGTATTGTTGTTGTTGTTGATGCTGCTGATGTTGTTTTTGTTGATGATGTTGTGGTTGTTGTTAGAATCTATGTTGTTGTTGTTGATGATGATGTTGTGGTTATTGGTGAAATCTATATTGTTGTTGTTGATGATGAGTTGATTATTGAACCTGTGACTGAAGTTATTATTGATAATAACGCCTTTATAAACTGATGTTGTTGTTGTTGTTGCAGTATTTAACGCATTAGATGTTGTTTGAATGCAGTTAAAGAAGTTGTTGTTGTTGTTGAAGTATGTCGTCACATTGTCGCCGATAACCGCTGCTGATGTCTTTATTTTTCTTTTCCATTCTGAGAATTTCGACGACGCCATTGTTGCCGTAAATGACGTCATCATCATTGCCGTTGTTGTTGTTGTTGATGACGTCATTGCTGTTGTTTTTTGGAGTTAATCGCGCAAAAGAATGAAACAATTAAAAGAATGAATGAATGAATGATTGAATGAATGAACAAATAAAGGACCGAACGAACGAACAGATAAACGAGATGAATATAGAGATATAAAAATAAAGTCCCCAGCAAATTCATTAATTTTTATAACACACATACTAAAAGATCACGTATTATATTAACCTAATAATTAATATATACACATATATATATAAGTATTATATATATACATTAAGTATATAAGTATCATATATATATATAAATATATATATATATATAAACATCTGTTATCATTGTCGATACTACATCGCGATTTCACATACATATTCCAACAACATCGTCGTCGTCATCACCATCAGTAACTTTAACAATCATTACCATAATCACAAATATGATAATCATCACACTTCTTATAATTTATGCAACTTCCTCCGTTGCAAATTTCGACCAATCAAAATCCCTCATTCATATTTTAACCAGCCAATCGCAGAGTAGATTATAGTTCCATAATATAAGTATATCATGTAGATATTTAGCTATGTTATTGTTTAAACAGATTAATTACTACAACTACTTCTTCTGTGGCTACTACTACATTACCGTGCAACAAGTATCTCTACTGAATATAATAAAAAAAATAATAATTATATTTATAATATATATATAGCAATAATTATGTAATAATAAAAATACAATTATTTTATTATTTTTATTATTAGTATGCAAGTAATTTTGAAAGAGTGGAAGGTTGCATTGAAATCAATTAAAAAGTCCTCAAGATAACCACACGCTATCTTATTGAATGAGCGAATGAATGAACGAATGAATGAATGGATAGATGAATAAATGAAAGAAACAAGACCCGTCAATCAATCCTATTTATCTAGCGCCTTGTTTTTTTTTAACACGCCTGCTCTACAAGTTGGCGAGCTTGCACGTAAAAAAGTCTTTTGAAAGATTTCAGTCATATTTTTTGTAAACAGTTTCGAACGAGATCACCATCATCATCATCACCACCACTATCATCATCATCGCCACCATCATCATCACTATTATCATGATTGTCAACGTCATCGTATCATAATCATCACTGCCATCCTAAAAATCATCACGACATCCATCACAGCCACCATCATCATCATCCTTATAGCTATCATCATCATCAGCAGCACGGTCGTCATCATCATCATCAATCATCACAACCAAATGGGGCAAACAAAATTATCACGCAAAGAATCATGTCGAGAAGACACTTGTGTATATATATATACATTATATTCACATATATTATATATATATATATGTGTATGTATGTTTACGTGTGTATGTATGTACCTATGTATGTACGTATGTATGTATGTGTACGTGCGTATGTATGTAACATCTGGTCGAAACTCCCCTATATTAGCACACATGTTGTAACATTACGCCCGATTGAAATGAAGAGAGAATAAAAAAATGGGTGAAGTTAAGAAAGAGTGAGAGAGAGTGAGAGAAAGAAAGAGAGAGTAGAGAAAGAGCGAAAGTAGCTACTCCTTTGGAAACATTTAAAATTGCCACTCAATGAAACAAAACGAAGCAGGGTTCATGCGTTTTCAAATTTCAGAGTACATGCCCGAAGATAAAAAATGAGAGAAAGACGGAGAGAACATAAGAGAGATACAGAGAAAGAAAGAGAAAGAGAGAGAGACAGCAAAGTTAGCATTCCCACATTAGCTTATAAAGTGACAGTGAAAATAAAGGAAGCAGAACTCTATTCGTAGTACGGCTTCATATTTATTCACTCTAAAAACTGATAGAACGAATGAAGGAAATATAAAATTATTGTACGAATGAAAATCGTTTTTCTTTTATACATTTTATATTGAACTGTCTGGAAGGTTATAAAAGCATGGCACTTCCAGCGTGGGCAGAGAATAAAAAATTCTGAAATGATGATCTAACTCTTTTTTGGAGTCAATTAGTCAGTTGTAAACGTCATCATCCATCTCAATCAATCAGCCAGTAAACCAAGCAGCCGTGCAACAGTCAATCAATCAATCAATCAACAAACAAATCAATTAATTAATAAGCATTCTCTTTATAGTAATCTCCACCACCACCATTATTATTATTATTAATATTTCCTTTTCCGCTTTGTCCACCACGTGACTTAGATTCACTTTTAGTGCCCTGTTGACCTTTTGAACTTTTGGGAGGCTTACCTACTGACCTTTTAGGACCGGATGATTTGTCGGGTTGAGGTTTTTTGGCGTTAAAAAATGGATGCACCTCTGTGAATTAGGAATTTAATGAATGAATAAATGAGTGAATGAACGAATGAATGAATAAATGAATGGCTCAATCAATCAACCAACCAACCGTCAATAGGAGCATCAGGGAGATCGATATCGAGCACTTTCGATTTCTTTTTCTTCGGTGGAGAATCCCGGCTGGGATTTCCGGCAGCTGATCCGGAAGATCTTCGCTTCTCTGGAGTCGGAGTGTTGTTCTGTTGTTATATTTTTCAAGGTTTTTATTTTTAGAAATTTACAAAAAAAATCGGAAAAACCCAGGTTTCTTGTGAATCAAAGAAAATAAATATGAATTAATTAATTAACGAAAGGATGAATGAATGAACAAATGAATGAACGAGTGAATGATTGATTTGGCAAATAAATGAAAAACAAATGAATGAACGAATGAATGATTGATTTGGCAAATAAATGAATGAAAAATGAACAAAGGAATATAGATACAACTGCACCCACGTCTCCCCAAGATTCCTCGGCGTCTTCGACCTCAGGTGCAATGGGGAGGTACAAAAGTGCTCTGTCCTCATCATCCTCATCTTCATCGCTGTTCACCACGCCCATCATCATCATTATCTCCATCATTTATCTCGTAACCATATATCATAAGCCAATCTCATTAGCATATCTAATCAAGCAATCAATCTAATCTGCATAATTTGCCTATCTAATTAGCACAATTCATTTAGACCATCTCATTAACATAACTCCTCCCACCAACAAACTAACCTGCTCACGAAGGCAGCTATTGCATCGACGGTCGTAACATCCACATCAACATTCTCCTCCACTGGCCCTACAGCTGTATTCAGCATTATTATTATTATTATTATCACTATTATTATTATTATTATTATTATTATTATTATTATATTATTATTATTAAAAATTAAAAAAGAAACAGAGAGAAATAAAATTGAAAAAACCCGAAAACGCAATTGAAACAAATTTCTCAATTACAACAACCCCAAACATCATCTCAATCATCATCGTCGTCGTCGTCATCCCCATCATCAGTAATGACCTTTGACCTCCTGAACTTCCTTATCCTCGTCGTCAAGGTCGAACTCCGACTCCCTCTCCTCGTATTCAACGTTTTCGTCCAGCTCTTTGAAGTCCGGAGCAAATGCACTCCAGTTTTCCTGAAATTTTTTTTAAATTTTAGAAAAAGGGAAAAAGAAAGAAAGATATTATCATTTTCATCTTAACGAGAGAGAGAGAGAGAGAGAGAGAGAGAGAGAGAGAGAGAGACCATCGAGCGAGTAAAATCATCGCCATCGTCATTTTTTTAACAGCGACTCACCACTTGATTCTGACTCCAGATGGAGACAACACCACTGGATATTGAGGCTATGATGGGCCGGACTGGATGCCACTGAAATTATAAAAGATATAATCATAATAATAAAAATAACTATGATCATAATAATAAGAATAAATATGATCATAATAATAAGAATAAATAATAATTATAATTAATAGCGATAACACAGAATCACATGCAAACGACAGTTTCAAATGAACAATCAATCATATGTCTAACAAACGCTTTAGCAGCAGCCAATAAAAAATCAGGAAACCAACGAAGCCCTGCCCACAGCTAACCACGACATCCAATAGCATTTCTCCTTTCGTTCCTAGCAAGAATTTAACGAGGTTACCACTGACTTTCTCCCAGATGTACAGGGAATGCTGTCGAGAGGAACCGGCCACGATGTACTCACCATCTCCAGAGAAACAACACTTCTTCCAGAGAGATCTGGAGACAGAGAGAGAGAGAGAGAGAGAAAGAAAAAGAGAGAGGGAGAGAGAAATAATTTTTTAACTTTGATAAACTAATCCATCGACCAACCAACCAATCAACCAGCCAGCCAGCCAACCTATTAACGAGATCTTGAAGTTTTTGAATTGGTTCAGGTTCTCCGTTGATTCCACAAGCTATTACCTCATCACTGTCATACACTCTCACCATCCTATCTGCTGAGTTCACTAGGAAGCAACTGAGAAGTTGGTTAGTTAGTTGAATGGTTGCTTAAATGATTGATTGGTTGATCGAATGATTGAGTGGCTATAGTCACTATTTTGATTTCCAACAAACTAGATAACTGTTACTATTACTCTAAAACATTTATTAAATGCCATAAAAATGAAGTGTAATATTTCGATTATCAATCAAACAACTTTAAACTAACCAATCAATTAACTAATCAATCAATCAATCAATCAATCAATCAATCAATCAATCAATCAATCAATCAATCAATCAATCAATCAATCAATCAATCAATCAACTAATCAATCAATCAATCAACTAATCAATCAGTCAATCTACTGACTTTCCCCTTCTAGAAAATTCTATAGACTTGAGTGACGTCGTACTTGAGGCTGTTGTTGAGACTCTGAACGATGCAACTAGCTCCAATGTTTTTGTATCTGCCACTAGGATCTGCCAGTTTATGATATACACATACACACAAGCATACAAACAAAAATATATACAAACAAACATACATACATACATATATACAAACATACATACATACAAATATACAAACAAACATACAAACATACATACAAACAAACAAACAAACAAACAAACAAACAAACAAACAAACAAACAAACATACTTTTCCCTTTGCATTTCCAGTAAAAATATGTTTCCCTCTTCTGTCAAATGAAGCACAAATGTTCATATCACCCTTCGGGAATGAAGGAATGAATAAATGAGTGAATGAATGAATGAATGAATGAATGAGTGAATGAATGAGGATGAATGAATGTATGAATGAGGATGAATGAATGAATGAACGAATGAATGAACGAATGAATGAAAGAATGAATGAACGAATGAATGAATGAATGAATGAATAAACAAGCAATCAATCCATCAACCAGTGAATAAACAAACCTCTTCATCGATGGGCACAAGCCTATGTTTACCATCCAACGCCATAAGTACAGCGGCATGTTTCATAGGAACAACTAAGAACTGATTACTAGCGTTGATGATGATGATGATGATGTTAATGAAGATCATAGTAATCATGTTGTTGCTTGTGATGATGATGATGCTTGCGACGTTGATGATGATGATGATAGGGAGGATGAAAATGAGGATGACGCTGATGGCGATAAAAACTAGTCACCTATCTCTAGGATGGAATTGAACTTTTAAAACTGGAGATGGAAATCTATATTGAATAACCAAAAAAAAACTCCATAAAAATTATACAAGTTTAATGGGTTATAATTATTACATTCAAATATGCAATCAGACAACCAGCCAACCAACCAACCTATAAGATTGATCGCATTCTCCAGATAAGACATCCCAAATTGACACCATACAATCAGTCGAGGCACTCAAAATTTTATGACCTGATCTATTCCAACTGTTAGAAAACAATAAAATAAAATACAATTACAACCATACATCATACAAAATATACACACACACTCACATATATAAGCATACATACCATAGAGAACAGACAGGATGTATATGTGCACTGATGACTTTGGCAATACCCCGAGTCAGGAAATCCCAGATTACGATGCGTCCGTCATTGCATCCTATAGCCAGTAGTGTCCCACGCTTGTTAAACACGCATGTGACGGCCATACTGACGCAATCAAGAACCCCATCAAAATCCTGATTAAATTTATTTTTCATTTGTTTAATTAACATTAAGATAGGGATAGGTTCTTTAAATTGAATGTTAGTAATTTAGAACGTCTTTTTAATGATTCAAAAAGAAACAAAAAATCATTCAAATTATTAATTAGTGAAATTAGGTATTTTTTGAAAATGAAAAATGGGATGGAAATCCAAATGGAATGGATATGATATGAAAAAATGACTGAATTGAACGAACCTCGGGGTAATTTTGTCCGAACGATTCTGTCAAAAATTAATTGAATGAATATTATCATATTTCTTAAAATTAAATAATTAAATAATTAAAAAGAGAAAGCACAAACCAAGCAACTCCAAGTTCATTTTTAAGCTTTTTAATAAAAACAGAAAATGAACGAGGGATAGATTAGCGAATAAAAACCGAATTTTAGATGGATATTAAACAATTATTATTCAGAATTTCCATCATCAAATTATACATTTTCATGCTTAGAAAATTAAATACTACGTAAATCTAGTAAAAAAAACTATTAGTTTAGATTATTACATCAGCGCCACATCAAAATAGTTAAACCATTCATACTTATGCTGCAAACAACTTGGCTTGTTATAATTTAGACTTAGCTCCATTTTTAAATGTAAACATTTTAAATTAAATTGATTAATTAAATAACTAAATAAATTAAGCTTTTGATTTTCAGTGGTGATTTATTTTATTTTGAATGCATTTCAACGTCTATATATTGATATTTTTTACTAGTCAACTGTAGAGTCTGAAGATTTTTATATTTATACTTTTCAGCCATCTAATCTAATCTTATGAATCTCAATAGTACAGTGTTCTTCCACATAATGATAATCTGTCTCTATTCATTGCTATCCTATGTCTGTCTTCATTTATTGCTTGGTCTGACTCTATGTGTCTCAAGCTTAATCCTTCTAAGTTTGATTTAATTTGTTTTAATAAATCTCTCTAAACGCTCTATTACTATTCCTTCTATTATCTTACCTGATTCAGAAACTCCTTAATGTATCTCACAAGTTTTAGTTCTACTATGTCTCTTTCTTCTTAGATTAATAGTGTTGCTAGAAGTTCTTACTTTCATCTACTTTTGCTTTTTCCTGACAATCCTACTCTTCTCCTTGTTACTTTTCTAGTTTTATCTAGGATTGGTTATTGCTCTGCTATGGTCTTTTTGATTCTACACTCTATCCTTTAAAAGTAAAGTTGCTTGTGCCCTTTTCTTTTCCCATACATCTCCATATCTTGTTCTCTTGCACTGGCTACTTATAAAATATAAAATAATTAAAAATTTTTTTTTTTAGATTATTTACTCTTCTGGTCACCTGTAAACTGAATTAAAACATCAAGTCTACAAGAGGAGAAGATCAAGATAAATTTGACAAACTTTGCGAATCTCTACTTTTAAAATCTCTAACTTGCTCATTACTGACTGACTGACTGACCCTAATCTAGTCAAACTGCACCTCACACTGAACACTGATAACAACAACAACTAATTCTGATCTGATCTGGTCTGATAAGGATTTTAAATTAGTTTCAGCATATTAGGCAGTATAATAAAAGTAACAATGATGAATGATGAGAAAGAAGAACTATTGGTGAACCTAGATGACGTGCTGGAAGACAGTAGCTGGGACTACTCGCCACCAGAAGTGGCTCATCTCATATCAACAACAACATCTCAAACAACAACAAATAATCACTACCCAGTTCTCGATTCTTCATTTCTATCTTTAGATGCACCCTTACTATCTGCAGAATACATTCCTTTGAAAAAGTCCACATCAACCACTATGGCAAACATCACTAAAAAGACAAAAGAAAACACACCATTGTTAGGGGGGTCCAGCAATCCGGACCCTAATTTAGAATTTATGCATCCAGATGATATTGAGTATGCTGATTTGATACTGCAGTCAGATTTTGCTATTTTTAGCGGGGTTTTTCCACAAAGAATTTCACAAGGGTCCAGTGGGAGCTACTTTGTTAATAATGTTGAAGGGGTAAGAATTGAAAATTAATTATTTAGTTATATAATGAACTAATTGTAGTAGCAGTAGTAGTAGTAGTAGTAATTGTAGTAGCAATAGTAGCAGCAGCAGTAGTGGTAGTAGCAGTTTATGTATGATAGTAGTAGCGGAAGTAATAGTAACAATAATTGTACTAGCAGCAGTAGCAGTAGTAGTAGTAGTAGTGGTTCAGCTTTTTCAAATTATCAAATATTATCTCTGTAGGTTTAATGAACATCTGTTTAGTTTCAAGTACACATTCACACACACATATACGCAAACATACGCACACACACACATATATATAGTAGTAATTATAGTAATAATAATAATAATAATAATAGTGGTAGTAATTATAGATACTTCAAAATTTATCAATTTAACATCAGATATTTAGAGATTCTGGCATATTTTCATCATCATCATATTTTATTAGATGATGATGATGATGACGACGACGATGATGGTGATACTGATGATGTTGACGACGACGATGATGACATCATAGATGAAATCTTTTGATAGGAAAATGTGTACAGTATGTTTGTACCTTGCCTTGTGTACGCCATGCCAATATATACATGTGACGTATAATGTAAGTATGTGTACGTACATACATATGAATGTAAGAATGTGTATGTATGCATGTATGTATGTATGTGTGTTTGTATCTTTGTTTGTATTGTGTTCATGTATTTGTATGTGTTATGATTATTTGCATAAGTCAAACATCATAAAAAATACCACATGCCCCCCCACACACACACGCACACTCACACACACACATATATATATATATATTGTATATATGTATGTATATATATACAATATGAAATTTAAATAGTATTGATCCAACTGTTTAATGCAAGCATCTGTGTTATATTCTCATCCTAGGCATCTATACAAATTGTATCATATATACATATATATGTTTGTTTGTATGTTTGTCGGCATGTATGTATGTCTGTTTGTATATTTATTTGTATCTATATATCTGTGTTTGTATGTGTGTGGGTACTATGTAGCATAAGGTTTTTTCTTGACGCTTTGTTGTTGCTACTTACATTTAAATTAAACACATCGGTGTCAAAAAACCTGTTGTGACAAAGTCTATATATATATAAATATATATATATATATATATATATATATATATATATATATATATATATAAAGATACGTATACGAAAACCACAAATATATATATATATAATATATAATGAATATATATATATATATATATATGTATGTATATGAAGCTTATCTCAAAATTTGTCCAAAGTCGATTGATAAATGTAAAGTGGTCTTCTTGTTCATTATATGCGTGTATGAATGCATGTTCACATATTCATATAGGTATGTATGTATGTTTGTATATGTGTGTGTATGTATTGTGTATGTATGTATGGATGGATGGATGGACTAATGTATGGCATATATTGACGCATATAAATGTTCTGGTTAGAACATTTTAACGTTAATTTTAACGAAATCTCATACTATCTACTAATTTTAATAATTGGTATTAAATATTATTAATATTGTTATTTTTGTTATTGATAGTACTACAATTAGTATTAGCTACAGTCAGTCAGTCAGTAATTCTTTGTTGTTGTAGTAGTAGTAGTTTTAGTCAAATTATTTTTAGTGATTTAGCCTTCATAGTAACAACAGAATTTGTAACAATAAGTATAATTTTTTTGTTAGCATAGAGAAGTATCATTGTATAATATGTAACTAACATTGCTATTGTTAAGCCATGTTTTATTTTGTTTCGACGTACATTAACACGTGTTGGTAGATTAGTTTTGTATTTAAATATGCCAGAAATACACGTTTATACGCTACCTTAATACGCAAATTAACTTTATCATTTAAAGTGTGGACTTTGTATTGTGAGTTTTAATCAAATTTTTAATACGCATTTGTATTATTATTTATAATCAAATACAAATACGTATATACTTTAATACGTATTTAAATTTATACGTACAAACGTAGATTCTAATATATATTTATATAAAGCGTACGTATAGATGTGCGTACATAGCTAATGTAATATAATATATGGAATACACATCCCTAAAATCCGATATAACGAGAAAGCATTCGACAACGTACGGCTACACAAACGAAACCGAAGCCAGCGTCGTCAACACCGCCGCCACAAACAACATCCACCCATCGTCATCACTATCGCCTACGCGCCAAATCTCGGAAATTCCACCTGAAATTTCCAGACCGCCGGAAGCTTCCCTAACAACTAGGGATGACCTGTCGCTAATTAAACCAGAACCGAGTCAGAAAAAAACGAAAAGTCGTCGGTTTTCGTATCAAGAGGAGTTCACTTTTGATTTGACCGACATTACCGGCATTCGAAATGACGATGTCGAGTCGGATCGAGAATTTGATTCGATATTATTCGAGGCAGAAAAGGCGGTTTGGTTAGGGAAGTTTCCGCAGAGGATTAAGCAGGGATCCAGTGGGAGCTATTTTGCAGTCGATAAGAATGGGGTCTTTGATTTTGTTACAATTTTTATAAATATTTCCATTCTGTAAATGATAGCCATTTAGATGTCGATGAATATGGCTACGATGATGACGATGCAACCACAACCGATTCCATTTGTTCATTTTTCTGATCAATCATTTATGAAACAGCCACTCACTTACATGCAGTCCGACAAACAACTAAACCACACAGACACACACACACACACACACACACACACACATGTGCAGAAAACGATCGGCGTCTTCAAGCCAAAAGACGAGGAACCGTATGGCCATCTCAATCCGAAATGGACCAAGTGGATGCAGAAGATGTGCTGCCCGTGTTGCTTCGGTCGCGGCTGCCTGATCCTCAATCAAGGCTACCTATCAGAGGCAGGGGCCAGTTTAGTTGACAGGAAATTAGGCTTTCATATAGTTCCGAAGACCAAGGTACGTGCGTCTTTGTGTGTTTGTATGTATGTGTGTGTGTATGTTTGTGTTAATTTGTATCGAATATATTTACACAGCGATGAAGAATTTATGATAAGGCACCTTATAATTTGACACTACCCTCCATAAAGGTTGTGAAGCTCGCAAGTCCGACCTTCAACTACAGCGCTATCGATAGGGCGAAATCTCTAACTAAGAAAAACATCACAGAGAAGTTTCCGCAGATCGGCAGACGGTTTCACAGGCTGGGTCTGCCGCCTAAAGTTAGTACTTTCCGTTGGGGTGCTTTCAGATGGGTTTACCCGCGTGTTTTTTTCTCATGAATGTTGTTTGATTGGTGGAAGATTAGGTGATGTATAAGATAGTTATGAATGAAGCGATGGTGAGGATTGAAATGATGATGAGTATGATGATGACGAAGAGGATTAAATTAACGATGATGATGAAAGCAATTACTTGATGGCCTAATTTGCATAAATCCATCTTGACTGTCTGACTTTTCAACAATGATAACATTGAATTACAAGAAGCAAACAGTATCGATAGCGCAGTGAAGATGGTGACGACAATGATGATGACAACTCAAATCCTTATTACGGTGATGAAAATTTCATATAATTTAAATGTTTAATAGCGATAATTAATTATTTATCTAGGTCGGGTCGTTCCAATTATTTGTAGAGGGTTACAAGGACGCAGATTATTGGCTGAGGAAGTTTGAAGCGGAGCCACTGCCAGCTAATGAGCTCAAGAGTTTCCAACTACAGTTCGAAAAGCTAGTCGTTCTTGATTATGTAATCAGAAATACCGGTTAGTTGGTCGATTGATTGAT